AGATGTGTATAAGAGATTTGGTTACGTCATATTATTTATTTCCACTACAATATTGTTTCGTATGGTTGGCAGAGCCAACCACACTCATCAGGCGGATATGTACAACTGATGTTATTACAAGAAAAACTTAAGCATAACATTAATTGAGAAGCATATTAGCGGTGATTAAAAGGGTCTATTGTCTAGATGGTATATTGTTTATCTATGGATTAGTAATCATTGGTTTCTTAGCAGGAATTGCCTCCTGTGCCTACAAGTGGATATTAATTCATTTCTGCAGTTGAGAGAACTTAACTCAGGATGACAAATAATTAGAAACTTTTCATGTAGGCATAGATTGCATCGTTTTATAGTATTAGAATACGGTCTACATTGTTTTATAATTTTCCATTTTATGGTATATTGCGTCTTAGTGTCTTTCAATGACCAAATGTATTTACTTAGTTCAGTACTATTTCTGTATTTAGCATTACGGAATGAGTTAGTATGGTTTCTATATCTAGTTTTAAATGTATTTTCCGTAAGACCGATGTAAGTTTCTTCATTCTTGTTGTCGACTCTTGTTACTGTAGCTTGATAAACAATCCCTTCGGTGAGGCATTTACCGGATGGTGGGCATTCGCTCTTTTGGCGACAGTTACATGCAGGGTTATTCTTCTGAAGTTCCTTAGACAATATAGATTTGTTGTGTGAATTAATAACACTATGTTCATGCTCGGCATGCAGCTGTAGCTGAGTTTCAATATGTTCCTGTTAAATAGCTTTCTAAGCTCGTGTTCTTGCGGGAAGCATTCATCCACTATAATATGTAGAAATTTGTGGCCTATATTGGTAGCGACGTTGGCGCTGTACGGGGGTTAAACCATATAACATTTCGGCTGCACGATCGTTTTGACTTTGTGGGTACAGGCTTAAAATTCAATTTGTAGTCGTAGCCGCTTTTGTGGAGGACCTCTTGATACGTTGGAGCAGCTGTATCAAACGATTCCTTATCAGACGAGATGTTGGATAGTCTTCTATTGATGGCTTCTGGTATTACGAATTATTGACAGTGGGTGGTTGCTTTGTTGATGGATGTAAAGGGGGGTATTGTTGGGTTTGGAAAATGGTTTGAATGTTCCGGTTCTTAAATCTAGGGTTATGTCCAGGTAATCAACTGATTATTAGTTGGCTTCTATGGTGAGATGTAGATTGTTGTCCCGAAATACCTTGCATATGTGTTTTTTAATACACTCAATCTTTCTCGGTGACACGTCAAATGCGGCTAGACCGTCATCTCTGTATAGGCCGATTTTGTTGCCGTACATCGGTGTTAGATGGGATCTATAAATACGATCCGACTAGCTCGCAGGTTTCTGCACCGTCGAAACTCCCCATGGTCACGTCAATAGTGTGCTACCCGTTTTCTTACACCATGGTGTATTTTCCTTGAAAAGAAGAGATTTCTTTGTTTGGATAATGATGATAATGATTTGTTAGAGATGTTTTTGAACCAGTTAATTACAGAATCGGTGTTTTTCCATTGATTTACCTTGGTTGAAACCACTATATATATGTATATGTATATATATATACTGTCTCTTATACTAACTAAACTTATTTAATCACAGTTTTAATCAGAAAGATAATCCTTTAAACATGATAACGTGGGTCAATTCCGTCTCAGATTCAATGCCTTGTAATTTTGTTATCAATAGTTTTTAATTATTGCTTAGGTTTAAAAAAACTGATGGTTATCGGAACGCTTGAAGGGGTGGAGTAATGATTTAGAATTATTAGTAGGCCTATTAGCTTATAATTCATTCTAATTTTAGAGGTTTTGATAAGCTATAATATTAATCGATAATTTTTTTGATAAATCTTTTGTGCATTTTTAACTGTAGTACTATGCTCATCGCGTGAAAATGCGATTGATTGGTCGAGAAGAGGACTTGGTTAAAGCGAACAGAACAGCATTACGATTAGCAAGAGAAGTAGCGGATGAGACTGGTACACTTATGGCAGGAAATATATGTAACAGTACAGTATTTGATAAAGATGATTTAACGTCAAAAGAATTAGTAAAATCTCAGTTTAAGGTACAGTTTAATTTGTACACTAACTACTACACCACTACCACTACCTGCTGCTGCTGCTACCATCATCATCATTATTACAAAGATAATATTATTATCATTAATATTAACAATTATTATTATCATTACATCATTACTGTTATGCATATTGCATAACAATATTTGCTAGCCATGATATTTGATACACAGTAACACAACTTAGGATGTGTAGAAATTAACACACAAAAATATACTGTTACATATTATAACTCCTTCTCTAGGAACAAATAGAGTGGGCGATGGAATTCAAGGCGGATTTTATAGTAGCAGAAACTTTCAGCGATTTTGAAGAAGCAATGATTGCCCTAGAAGCCATAAAGAATTATGGAAGGGGTAAATACGCCTTTTGTTACTGTAGGATTTAGTTGGGCACCCACTGTGCCCGGCGGTCGTGAGCCGATGCGATTCTATCGCAACGCCACGACGCACGTGCAACGGATCGTTTTTAACGACGATCAGACTGACAATCAGCAGACGGCGTCGCGTCGTCTAGCGCTCATGGCGCAGTGAGTACCCGACATTAGATATTATTTCTTTGTCGATGAATAGTTCCGTGACAAATTGTCTACGTTTTGGGATCAAAGAACTTATAAACACAAGATAGCGTTCTCCCCGATTTACGCGTAACAAATAGAAGGGTCGATTTGGCACAGAAAAGTAATCAGTTTTGGAAGAGGGCGTTTCAGTCGTTGTTATGGCTCTGTGTTATGTACATAGCATAGAGCTACGGCAGCCATCTTGAATGGTACACATACACAACTCTGCATGGCTCCGCCATCTTGTCAGCACTCTAGTTGTTTAATAGCTCATTGAAAAGACGTCTTCGCATGCGTTCTTCGTCGCGTTGCCGTCGCGTCGCCGTACTGATTTCTTTTTCTTTCTTTCTTTCATTTATCTTTTTGCACTGTTTGTTTCTGGCCGTCACTTTGGTTATTATAATTATTGTAATTTTATTATTATAAATATTATAGGTATTATAATTATAAATATTATAATTGTACTTTCTTTGACTATAGTTATTATTATTATTATTATTATTATTATAATAAAAATAAGAATAATAATAATAATAATAATATGTATTTGAACTATAGTACCGGCAGTCGTAACAATGGCATCACACCAATTTAACATCAATGGCGATGCTGCTACAAAAGACGGGTATACTCTTCAGGAATGCTGTAAACAGCTTGAAGATGCTGGCGCTGCCGTCGTTGGCTTAAACTGTACACGTGGTCCCTTAACAATGCTTCCAATAATGGAAAAGATACGAAAGACCTGTAAAGTACGTAGAATGCACAATTCTTCATTTCGAATAGTATTTGGCCACTAAAATTATAATTTATTCTTTTTAAATGCTTATTATACATGTTATTGTTAACGATTGTCTTTGCTGTGTGAATTGGGGCGTTAGTGTCTGTACTCAAAATAGTACAGTAAGGTCTATTCAGATTTCACATTAAAGTGGAATTATTATTTACACTTCTAATGGTTTATATGGCCACTGACTTTCAAGTCAACCTTGCAACATCCATTCATCCCTTCATCCATCCATCAACTATTATTATTATTATTATTATTATTGTATACTTATATAGCGCATATCAAACTTCTCTATGCGCTGAACATTATTACCCCGGATCACTGGATCAAGCACATATGGAACACACACTCAGGCCCCAAAGGGGAAT